CCCCCCCCCCCCCATATCTCTCTCCTTCACTAAGGCAAACAAGTTCAGTAAAAGCACATCATAATACAGGACGCAGTCTACTTAGTAAGCATGCCGAGAATAGAGAAGTCAGAATTTACTTCTTTTTTTTTAAATTTGGTAAGTGATTTTTTTTCGGCGCTCGCAGCTGCATAAGGTCATATGAGCGCATGGGACACACCAAACATTTTCAGTTTGTAGGAATTAGTTTTTAATTTAGCCCGGGTGGCGGCTGAAGCCTTCTCTTATCGATTTTTTGGCCATCAATGGATGAGGGGGGGGGGGCTACAGCTGAAGGCTATCTCGCTTATTAATGGATCGAATGTTACCAAAATCACATATATAACAAGCACAGTAAGGAGTCTTAGAATCCGCAATCAAATTTAAGAAAAAAGTTTCGTTTCCATGGATACGGCGGCCATATTGGATTTTGTTGACACATCATACATAATAAATACCACACTCATTTTTCATGGAAATAAATTGTTATTTTTTTGCTTGCATCTTGGCAAACCATTGATCTACAAATCTGTGTGATGAATTTTTCCTAAACTTACCAGAACATTTTTAATGAATTTTTTCTTGAGGTAGTATTCAGGTTTGCAAAAAATCCATGAAAATCCAAACTCCAAACACAACCAACAACAAAAAACACAACTATTCCATATCTCAAAAATTCATCACACAAAGTTTTAGTATTACCTACCATAAGGTCAAAGGTGTGGCTGAAAGACAGAAGTAAGAAGGAGCCAAGGTGTAGCAGTAGCAAGGTTGCCAAAAAAGAAAAAAAGTCAGGAGCCCAGAGATGGGGGCAAAGGAGGTGAGGGGGTGGGGGCAGAAAGTGGAGACGAAAGCAGACGACAGATCATGGTTAGAGAGCAGGGAAGGGGGTGAAGTGACATGAGAACATTTTGGAGAAGAAAAATTTCCGTTGCTGTCAGGTTTCGAGCCTGGGACATATTCAATGAGAGGCAAACACCTTAACCTCTAGACCACAAGAGCCCCCATTTTACATAATTTACAATTTCCGCAGAGACATTTTCTGCTGAAGTCCGCACGATCACACAAGGTCGATGTCAAGGCCATCGATTTGTTCATATATGTTACAGCTCTAAAAAAATGGCCTAGATATAATATAGGTGTTTGTTACAATTTCCGTGAAGACGGCGGAATGCTCTAAGTCGTTCATTGAGTGGGGGATTCGTGTGTGAACGGGGGTTGCAGGTGTGTGTGTGTGTGTGTGTGTGTGTGTGTGTGTGTGTGTGTGTGTGTGCGCGCGCGCGCGCACGCGTGTGAGTGTGTGTGTGAGTGTGTGCATGCGCGTGCACGTGTGAGAGTGTGTATGTG